GGGCGGTTTCGTATTTGAACGTCGTGGCACAATCGAAGTGAAAGTGAGTGTTCTAGATCGGTGATTGAATGCATCACTTGTGTGTGTCCCTGCGCCCTGCTCATTCTCGTCCTCGATTAACCCCGTTTGCCTTGTTTGTTTGTTCTCTCTCTTTCTCTCTGGTTGCAGGGCAAAGGCACAATGCAAACGTGGTGGGTGCTGAAGCGAATGCGTGAGGAAGTGGAACACGACGTGTGCCCGCTTCCGCCGAATTGGAAGAAAAAAGTCAAGAAAGCGATGGGTCACAAACAGTTGGACAGAACGATGACAGAACAACTGGATTCCGGCAGTAGTACGGGATAGGACGCGGGAGAAAGAAGTCAACTTGAACCNAGTCAACTTGAACCGCGGAGCGGTGCAACGAGAAACAGCTCGCATCCTGTATCGGCTTAGCTCATCGCGCACTATTCATCACTGAATCAGCGTAATGTGACAACATAGCTTAGAACAGTAACACAAAAGAGCATGCCCCAGGACGAATTTGGGGGTAGAATAAATACAAGATGTACTGACATTATCACTCCCATATGCAACTGTTTCCATTGTTTGTTGATGGTTATTCAATTGCATTCAGACACAATCAGCATGATAATGTTCGGTTTGTCAAACACATGAATTTTGTACTTTAATCGTAATCATTTAGATAATGAACTACTCATTTTATCGTTTTGTATTTATTTATTTCGCACGAACTTCCTCGAGGGAGCTATTTTGTTTTATGCAAATCAGGCGGAATGTGCAACAGTGTGTGTATGGGGAGTCTGAGATAATTCCGGAATCGATCGATCGATCGAATATCGTAAGCCAGCTGATCTATCCAATCCAATGTCCCCCTTGTGGTGTTCGATGCGATTGATAGTATGGTGTAGTCATTTTAGGATGCCCTGCTAAACGATCAAAGGTCCCCAAAATGTTTCAATATAAATGTCTGAAATCGAAAGCCTTTGGGTTGTGAGAGTTATGCATTGAATAAGGTCATTTTCACTTAGTCTGTTCTATTTTCAGTCAACTGAAGACAGACACCCAGGAGGGTAAACTTTGGTTGAACGAATACAAACAGAATCCTCGGTTCGGCGGATTTACACGTTTCGTCCGATTTTCAGAATTAATTGGCTTAGGATAAAATTATCCAACTATTTTAATGAAAGTGCTTTGCTCATTTGTCTCATGCAATTTACTACACACCTTTTTGCGAAAAAAACAGCGTTAGACACTCACCAGACTCGTGGTTATAGGGACTTAGTAATCTGTTATGGAAACCAAACATCTAAGCCATAAGAAATGGGGCAGTATCATATGACATATATCTTCGGTGGAAAATTACGATCAAACAAACACAGGTCAAAAGCACCGAATGAAAACAGTGATAAATCGTTATAGATCAATTTAGCAATCAGATTAAATTTGCTGCCGTTTACCATGACCGTCTTTCAGTTTGTGTCTTCCTGATAAGAAAATGTAATCACAGATATCTGTGCGAGGAACACAGAAGGGGCACAATTATTAGCCAATCAGTCATCCGCAGATCCAACCAGAAAATGCTGTCAAACTAAACCAAACTCTTGAGTTTTCTTTCTGCTTTTTTGTCAAAATCAAAGCGAGTTAATAAAAAAAATTAAAAAGATATTTATTAATTGATTTTGTGTAACACTTTAACTTTATTGTTTTTTCCTAGTATGTATGGGATCAGTCGTATGCATGAGCAAATCAGCTCCGGCAAGACCTCATTTCTCTGTGTGCTTGGGCTGAGTTAACCGATTAGTTCAATAAAGATTGAATTCATGGATCCATAAATCTATAACGTTATCATTTCGCACAAGAAGCGTACCGCTTAAATAAACAGATTGCTCGCTATTTGATAAACAAGGACTGATTTGGTACTTTCCCTCAATGCTTTCCATTAAGGGCTGTTTCGAGGGTGAAATAGAAAGCAAATGTTTGCTCACAGACTTCGAATTTAACAGTGTTCAGTAATTAGTCTTAGCTCTCTTCACGTCACTTCAGGTGTCATATATTTTAACCGTAAAATCACCGTTTAACTTTTCAGATATTTTTTATCAAGTGACAGTTTTCCAAATGATCTTTGCCATTTCCTGGAAACAATTAAGACATTTTTGATTTCGAAACACATTTGCAGTGTGCTTGGTGTTTAAAAAGTGCAACCCAATCACACCACGTTTTAGTCACGCTGAGTGGTGACCACGGATATGCCTGGATAGACGTTAAGTTGTACGGCCAATACATTTGACTAAAAAAGTGAACAAGTAAACGGTTTGATGCAGAGTATGAGAACTTGCAGTGGATTTTCGATCTTCCAAAAGCAGTTAAATTCTTTGATGGATTGCGACGAAACGAAATCGGAGTCATAGTGTCTGAAATCAGGGGAGGGAGCGGACGGGCATGGATCGAAGGTCGTCGGCGTCGGTGTTTGCTCACAAATTCTCCTGTCTGTTTAAATAATTTGGTGCACGATTTCGAATTCCCTCGACATGAATTTCAATTTCTAATTTGTTATAAAACCTAAAACGAATACCACTATAACTAAAAAGTGGATTTGGATCAAGGTATACGGACAATCAGTCTTCTTGGAAAAGTCTGTGTATCATCTTGATGATAAAACAGTGGAAATGGATACCCGTCAGTGAGTGGAAGTGTGTCATGCAGGGTTTTGCTTCATTATCCACTGCACAATCGTTTGATTTCTAACAGGATTTATCAGTTGTGTGTATCCAAATAGGTCACAGGAAATCGAGTCTCTGTAAAACGTAAGCAATCTGTACAGGGATGCTGTAAGATGTGTCACGCGAGAACCGCGCGGTATGTTTTCCGCCTCTCACTCACCTTATCAGGGAGTATCTGGCTTGTAAATGTTATTAACATTTCAATGATACTTCGAAAAAAGGCATAAATTCAATTTTCAGCAAGGACGCGTCTTTATTATAGGCAGTCTTCTGTCTCTAGCTTTAATTTCTGTTTTTATTGATTCAACCATGTTTAGTCTGACACAAGTAAGATAATCGAAATGAAGCATACAAGTAATCGATCATTTGATCTCTTGAACCACCGTATTTTACCGACTGGTTTGCTGTTATTCATTTAGTCCGACGTACAATACAAGGTCAGAAGTTTGGTGCCTCCGTTAAACAAAGCAATGACCTCCACAACGTGCCAACAAGTTCTTAGTGGTACATAATTGAATTCATCATGAATGAAATGTTCATGGTCTAAGTAAAATAATCCATAGAAGCTTGCGAGTGCGTGTACTTGAGTGTAAGCTTGCTGATAATGTGGACTATCATCATTTTGTGCAAATTTCGTTCGATCAATGCTATCGATCATTGATTGACTGACCACGTCCAATGAATGACAAGACAAAATCAGAATAAAATATAAGAAAAGAAAAAAACATGTCGGTTCAACAAAGCCACCATTCAGCCATTTGATTGTGCTGCTGCGTCACTGATTGTTATTGTCCGGAAAAGGATGCTGCCGATCAGCAGGATCTATCTGTACCTTCCATTTGTATTTCTACTGATGGGAGTTCTCTCTTCACGCCGGAGTCACGCTCTGTATTTGACAACGTACAATCCCGACTCGCGGGATTACGAAGGTCTACCCAGACAAACACGTCGAATTGAAACATGCTATATGGATGTGTGTGACGATTGCCTGCCACACTGTGTTCACAAATGCCCGCGTTGTTACTAGGACCGGGTTCTGACAGGTCGGTATGCCTTTGATCGGACGAATTGTTGTTTGTTGTCATTACCGTCCCAGTCGGCGTTTCATCACCACAACCCCGTCCTGTTTTGGTTTATAAATAGTATCCGTTCCTCTCTATGTAATTTTTCTGAAAGAGCTTTTTGATTACATGTTTCAGAGTACGGTTTTGAGTCATCTATCAGAGTTGCTAGCAAAGCTGACAGGGGATGAGAAAGTGTTCGAACAATTAGAATGATAACACTTGGATTTATTCCAGAAGCCATAAGTTCATGAAATGCTCTATTCAATTTCCGCTTCCGGGTGTGCACCTCTAGCGTGATAATAATGGTGTAAGACAGACAAAGATTGGTACTCGTTCACGATGGGACTAATAAACAGTTTCTATTATTATTTTTACTTATATCTTGTAACGTGAACCGCGAACCCGCAGTTCGAAGCTAAATCTCACACCCCTGAGGTACAATATCTATGAATAATCTGTATCTTCAGAGCATGATAAGAATTTCGCTCATGAAACGATTACACCAACCGCTGATTATTGCTTGCGAATAGGGGTATACACGGTACAACGAAATCAGCTGGTTGCTGTTTATTCCTCAGTAACTCAGGCTCGTATAGCGCTTGTAAGTCTATTGGGTCTAATACGAAATCATCATGGATAACAATCCAGAAAAGATATTTGTAGTGCTGCTCTAAGATAATCATGATAAAGGGGCATGTTATAGCCCGATAGGTGACGCGCATCAGTACTGTTTAGAGTTAGGCTTTGTGCTATTAGGCAAATCCAAAGTATTGAGTGATTTGTGACAGAATCTCATGAAATATATCGAGGATAGGACTGCGAATTCCAATATTTTCTCTTTCCGAGAACCATATGTTAGTGAGTAAAATGTGTTATCTGTTTTCGTTCAACAAACACAGTGCGATAAATTAGATTTGACAGATTAAACTCAGAATTTAGGATTAGGTTTCAGATTCGTAAATAATAGAGCTATTGTTGTGTGAAGAATAAGTGTTCCATCCACTGTGCTGAACAGGTGTGAGCGCAAGTGGAAAAGCAAGTGGGTGGTGTTGGTTTGTTTTCGATCAACGCGCAGAGAGTAACAATTTTTAAACTGTTCTGTTGCTTTCAAACTGACCTAGTTTAGTTATGCTTGCAAGAAATGTTTCAATGAATAGTATACTCAAAACATTGCCAGACTGTGAATCGAAGGGGTAAATCAAAGTTGTGTAAATTCTCGGACGCATAAGGGCGCATTTGGTCTTCAAGTTAAGATGCAAACAGTCATCACTGTCACCGTCTCGCCATACGGGAAAACAAATAAATAACACCTCAACTGTTCTCGGAACCCGATTATAGCTGTATTGTTTCACAAGTACAGGTCTAATAGAAACTGAAGCAACGGGTCCATGTGAAACATTTGTCGTTTCGTATAGGCAACAGCATTTATACTGAAGTAAATTTTTTTCCAAATAATCAAAAACAAGTTTTGGTAAGTCTTAATAGCCGGGATTTTTCTGAATCGTTCATACTCAGCAGATGGAGGGGTTCAAAATGTAGCGGATACTTTCATTTCGTC